TGAGCTTATTCACAACTCTTCCTCATTTGAGCTTGTTTACAAGTTTACACTTTCTATTCCTAATCTTACTTGTGTTCAATTTACCAACTTTAATAGTGCTAAGATGAGAAAAAAAATTATGTGATATATATAATATTATATTTTATGGTAAATTTCAAAATGGTTAATAATTAGATTAAGTCAAAAATTGTCTATTGATTTCAGTAAAAAATGTATAAATTTTAGTGAAAAATGTCTCATCTTCTGTCTTTCCTTTTTTTGTCTTCTTTTTTCTTGGGGTAAAAACAGAGATAACATATATTAAGATAAAGAAACAGAAACAGTTCTAGGATATAAAACCCCTACACCATCATCATGCAATTGTTTAGATAGACAAGAAGAAGCAAATTCGAAAACAGCGAAACTATCTATGGCATAAGTGCCTTGATTTGTTAAGATGCCGGCACACTCGTTGGCTTCCCAAAGGATATGTCCGCACACTTTTTGTCTTCGTCTTATGAACTAGGGTACTTGTTAATAATAGACAAATGCTAACGAGTGTTCATAGGACATTGTTTGAAATTAGAATTGAGCTAAAAGGTGTCTTAAAAATATGTAACACAATTTAAAAGTGTATAAAATAAAAAATGTATTCAGTTTTGTGAAAAATGTCTCATATTCTTTGAAATTTTTGTCAATTTCTTATATTTTAGGAGCACTTACTAGTATTTTAATACTCACATAACATTAAAAATATACTGAATTTAAGGGTGATTATTCAGTATTTTCGGAGTATGGATACTTGTTGCTCCATAAGATTTTGATTAGTAAAGAGGGGTAGTGGTCCACAATTTATGTTAAAAATGGAGGAATAATATAAAATTAAATAATTATTGATTGATTTGGAATATGACGACATGATGTTCTAAAATTATTGAATAATTCCCCCTAAATTTTAATCTATGAAAGTGCCTCAATAAATATCTTGATACTTCATCGTAATAAAAATTACAATTCACACTTTTCTTCTTTAAATTTCTAAAATTACGGTTCATTAAAATATTGATTAATGAAAAGTTGGTGGCACAATTTTCCACCATTGCCCTGTTTTACGAGATAAATTGAAATTATGGACAAAAATAAAATCCTACAATAAAATTAGCAAATTGCAAATGTATTCAATGCATTTTCCCAAAAATTATGTTTACTTGTAAGGGTTGAATTTTTGTTCAATTGTGTGACGTTGATTAATTGCCATATCCACACAGAAATAGACTCTTAATTGAGACATTAGACCAACCAACCAAACAACTAACCAATATAATTCAGTTGGAAAAATTCATTCCACCTAGCGAAGGTTATTTTTTAGCTTTTTGGATTAAAATCTACAAAAAAAAGAAAAAAAGAAAAGAGATTAAAATAGTCAATAAGACAAAATGTCACATCAAACCCATAATTATTTTACTTTTTCTCTCACAAACATCGCATCCAACTACAAAAAAATCCAACTATCTTCCCTCACACAAAATTTTAACCTACTAAAATAGCTAAAAATTAAAGTAGCCTACTAAAATAGTAACTTCCTAAACACCAACTAAGAATCGTTTGAATGTCTTAGCCAACTGGTATATGTTATGTATTTCAAGAAATATGTGATAAAATCATCAAAATAAAATGTATGATATAAATTTAAGACAACTATATTATATACTTCAAATAAATACATTCACTCATTTTATTTTTAGAGTAGCATAGTGAGTCTGTTTAATACAAATTTACAAATTAAAAATTATAATAAAAATGTAGAACCTAAAAAGACGAGGGAAAAAAAAAACAAAAATAGTTATTGACCTTTTTTTTTTTTTTTCTTCAGTAATTTTTTTTTGAATTTTTAATTTTTAATTTTTTAAAGAATTTTTTAGAATTTCCACATTAAATGGGTAGGGAAATTAAAATATTGGCCACAAATTTGAAAAAAAGATAAATAAAGACAGTTTTTTTTTTATAAAAAAAAAATACAACTTCTTTTTAATAAAGAATAAATCATAATTAATCTTATGAACTGCATCACCAGATGAGTATTGTTGTTAAGTGTAAGTGACTAACACAAAGTGCCAAAACAATACAAAATTTACAAAGGAAAATATTTTGTAACTCGAAAGTTTTCTTCCCGAATCCTCCGACTGTCCAAAACGACGTCGTTTTGGGCAGTTTATTTATTTTTATTTATTTTTTCTCCTTTTTTTTAAAACAGAGGGAGAGAGAGAGGGAGAAACAGAGGGAGAAAGAGAGAGGAGGAGAGGAGAAATGGAGAAAGAGAGAGAGAGAGACGGCGATGGCGATGGCGGTGCGAGCAACGGTGATGGAGGGTGCGACGGTGGATGCTCACCCTTGCGATTTCTGGCTCTGATGTGTTGATGATGAAGATGAAGATGACGTATTGATGATGGTGATGCTGATGAAGATGTTGTTGATTGTTGTTGTTGTTGTTGTTTTTTTTTTTTTTTTTTTTTTTTTTTTTTTTCTAGTAGATCAAGATCTACATCCAGATCTGAAGGGGGAAAAAAAAATATGTTGGCTGATGATGATGTGATGAAGAAGATGTTGTTGATGATGATGATGTTCTTTTTCTTCTTCTTCTTCTTCAGACAAACGAGAAGGAAAAAAGGAAACAAAAAAATAATAATAATTCCAAAACGACGTCGTTTTGGGATTTCGGGCGGTTTGGGGGGCTTCCAATTCGAGCTACGTAGCGCGATTGATTTACAAAAATATTTTGGAGCTCTAATAGCTCTAATGAGGTGTGAGTCCCACTGTGATAGTGATGTTTGTGTTTTTTTTTTTTGACTTTTTATGTCATTAGAGCTCATTAAAACTATATGATTTATAGGGATGCATCATTGTTGCAAAATTTATAGCATAAGGAATTACAATAAAAAAGTAGAACCTAAAAATACTTCCTCAAATTTTCAATAATTAAATTTTTTATTAAAAAAATTGAAAAACTTGACACTTTTTGATTTTATTTGATTAGATGGACAAGGGGGAAAAAAAAAAAGAAAAAGAAGTCTACTAAAGATTAAAAAAAAAATAAATGCCAAGAATAATTATTGCCTTTTTTTTTTTGTCTTTAGTAATTTTTTATGAATTTTTAATTTTTTAAAGAAATTTTTAGAACTTCCACATTGTACGGGTTGGGAAAATAAAATATTGGCCACAAATTTGAAAAAAGATTAATAAAGATAGTTATTTTTTATTTTTTTTATATACAACTTCTTTTAATAAAGAATAAATCATAATTAACTGCATTAATAGACAATTATTGTTGTTAAGTGATTAAAACAAAGTGTCAAAACAATACAAAATTTACAGCAATGACATTTACAAATTACTTTTAATGCAAGGGGTTAAAGGTGAATTGTTTGTTTGTGAATTGAATTTTTTAATAGTGTTTTTTGAGTTTTTATTAAAAAAAAATACAAAATAAAAAAGAATGATTAATAATTTATAATAATTTTTTAAACTTTTTGATTAAAAATCACTCTTCCCAAAATTAGGAGAATCAAAGCTCACCCAACTGAGAACAAGCAAGGTCCGATATGAGAAACGGAGCCGCCCCCCTCGGCTGTCAAGGGATGGTGGTTGAAGGGTGGGCAAGGTGTTGGGTGGTCACCAAACTAGACATATCTGTTCTCTCTGATGTGTCCATTATTTATATTCTTTAATTATCTATATTTCATAAATCTCATTAGCCCTCAAATTTCTCCTTCTTGCTCAACGTCTAGCCCCTACCCATCTATCTATCTCTCTCTCTCTCTCTCTCTCTCACATGTGGGTGCCATTATAATCATTCTTGTTTCTCTCATTTCATGTTGGTGTCATTATAATAATATATTATTCAAAACCCAATCTCCTAAACACAATGTGCTACAAGCATCCCCATTTTCTTTGAGCAATTCAGTTAACAAGTTTCCAACTAACAAAATAAATAAATAAATAAGTAAAAAAAATAAAAATTATAAGACACTTTATTAATTTCATTATAACTTTTATTGATATCAAAATTTTAAGATCTCATCACGCTGTGTTTGGTTGATAGATTTATAACAGAATTTAGAAATAGAAAGAGAAAGATAGGTGAAATGAGAATAAAATATACCTATATTTTATCTAATTTCACACACATTTTCCCTTTTTATTTTCAAATCTCTTTCCAAATCTTCCAACCAAACACAATATTAAGACGTGTCCATAAATTACATGTCAAAAGAATTTAAAAAGTTCACACAATTTTTATTAAACATATTTCAATGTAATTGTATATATTTTTTTATTTTTTTTAACATGTATCTTAAGGATATATATGACTAAAATTTAATTTTTATTGACATTTTATAATTTAAAAAATACTTCTTACATAAATTATAATACTAAATAATGTTTTAATGAAATTTATTAGCATTTGTCATAAGTATTTAAGCGTCGTAGTATAATGTGATATTGTTAGCATTAGACAGTTAAAAAGTAATTTTCTTGCAAGTCTAAGCCTCTTTTCAATTGTAAAGAAATATGTAATCACTTTTTTATTTTATTTTATTTATTTATTTACATTTTAACTAAAATAATTTGAAAATGATATATAAATATACTTTTTAAATCCAATGATATATGTAAGTGAAATAATAAATTGATAATTAAAAAAAAATATAAGAAAGAAAAAATTATCTTAAATATTTTAATTAATTATTATATTATTGAACTTAAAAAATAAGTCTAATTTTAGGTTAGAATAACAATGCCCAAATAATTTTGTTGAGTATACAATTTATGTGATTAGCCAGGTCTATCAAATAAATTTCCTTAATTGAAAAATAATAAGTGACTTATCTAATGTGTTTGAGAATTTTTTTTTTTTTTTTTTTTTTTTTTTTTCTTTTTTGGGACTAGTCAATAATTTTTCAGAAAATTAAAAAGAAAGAGTAGTTTAGGTCTCTCTCTCCTTTTGTGTAGAGAGGCGATCCGTGTTGCTCTTTGCATCCAAAATAATGCAGAAAACGTACACCCGTTGTGGGTTCTTGTCTTGTCAACCTTCAACACCAAGAATCTCTCTCCATCAAATTCAAGCCTTTCCTCTATTAAATACATTCATTCATCTTGGTTATGGGCCATCTCCCCTTCTCCCATTAATACAATTGTATAATTCATTCCATTCTACCCCTATATACAAATACATATTCCTCTATGTACACCCTCATTGCCAAATTCTTTCTCTCTCTCTGTCTCTGTTCTGAAAATTCTCTCCGCTCCTTCAAGCAAAGCTAAGTGTAGCTTTTTCTCTCTCCACCTTTCCTTTATTCTCTCTCTCTCTCTCTCTCTCTCCCTCTCTCTGCCTTTTTGGTTTCTGGGTTTCTGTGTTCATATAGAGATCTGCTTCAAAATGGGGTTTTCAAGAAGTAGTTGCACTAACTCTGGAGAGCCTCTTCACAATCAAATTGCCCCAAGTACTACTTCCTCTCTACCCACTGATCAGTATTGCGACTACGATGACTTGAAATTCAAGACTCTCTTGTCCAAGATGGTTTGGGAATTTGGGTTGTCCTGTTTTCTTCCTTCTCTCCCCCGAGGCAAAAATCAGAGGGAGAGAGAGAAGAAGAAGAAGAACAGCAACAATTCAGACCACAACAAGGCTTGGTTGCTTGCTGAGTCTGGTGGGTGTGGAGGCGCTGAGTTGACGAGCTCTGACCCACAATCAGTTCACTCCTCTTTCAGGTTCAGTTTCTGCTCCCAAGTGGAACTTGAATCCATGAATGTGGCCAATCCTTCTCCTGCAACTGTTCTCATGGTGAATTTGGACAATGGGTTAACTGACTCTCGCGCTCGAGAGCTCAAATGGCGAAGAATTGAATCGCTTGAGAGGAGTATCTCTCCGGTGGCCCATACCTTGATTAGATTTAGCTATGCCGAAATCCTCTCTGCCACTCGCAAATTTTCCAAAGGTACTCAATTGGGTTTCCTTTCTTTTACGCCATTTTTTTTTCTTGAATACACTAATATTGATTGCAATTCATTTTCTTGTACTATTTTTCAAAAGGTATTCAACCGGATTTCCTTTCTTTTAGACCCCTTTTTATTCTTGAATTGAATACACTAATATTGATTGCAATTCATTTTCTTTTATTATTTTTTCAAATTTAGACCATTTTTTATTCTTGGATACACTAATATTGATTGCAATTCATTTTGTTGTATTGGGTAGGCAGAGTTTTGGGTAGAGGTGCACTGAGCTGTGTTTTTAGAGGGAGAGTTGGGTTTTTGAGGACCACGGTAGCGATTAAGCGGCTGGATAAGGAGGACAAGGAGTCTTCAAAGGCATTTTGTAGAGAACTGATGATTGCTAGTTCACTCCATAACCCAAATATTGTCCCTCTTGTGGGTTTTTGTATTGATCCTGAAGAAGGTTTGTTTTTGGTCTACAAATATGTATCCGGTGGAAGCTTAGAGCGGTATTTGCATGGTATGATTTCTGGATCTTTCATACTTTTTAAGGAATTTTTCTTTTAAATTTTTTTCTTTGGTCTTTTAAATGTGTAATTGCCTTCAATTTTGATGAATATTTATATGCAGAGAGGAAGAGGGGAGTGAAGGGTGGTCCATCACTACCATGGTCTGTGAGGTATAAGGTAGCTGTTGGAATTGGAGAGGCAATCGGATATTTGCACAATGGAACCGATAGATGTGTTGTTCACAGAGACATTAAACCCTCTAACATACTCTTATCTTCGAATAAAACACCAAAGGTAAGACATGGGATATTGGATTTGCTTTCTTTTTGTAGTGATTTCAGGATCTAGTATCTTAGTAGTGTTCTAACATTTTCAATGGTATTTTCAGGTATGTGACTTTGGATTAGCGACATGGACCCCTGCACCTTCGATACCTTTCCTTTGTAAAACTGTGAAAGGAACATTTGGGTATGATCTCAATTAGACTTTGAATATAGAAAGAATAATAACAAAAACCATCTATTGTTTCTTGTTGAATGGAGATTTAAATTTTCTTCTACTTACTGAATATTTGGATTGAATGTGCAGTTACTTGGCCCCAGAATATTTCCAGCACGGGAAAGTATCTGATAAAACCGATGTTTATGCTTTTGGGGTTGTCCTCTTGGAACTGATAAGTGGACGGAAGCCAATCGAAGCAAAGAGGGGACCAGGGGAAGAAAACTTGGTTGTGTGGGTATGTCAATGTTTTAATTTTGACTTAATCATCTTCAGTTCTATTAAGTTTCTGACAGTTGAATCAGTGGTCCCCTATTGCCTTACAGTAAAGAAAAGTGGTTCTCGCTACGGATAAGTTTGACAATAACAATAATGTCCAGAACATATAGTTTAAATCACAGGACAATATGATATATCAAAGCTGCTAATGATATATTTCAATCAGTTTTCTGCGGCAATATGGTTCTATGCTATAGTTTTGTTACATTTTTGTGGCTTCGTGGAAGTAGATGGAAATGTTTTCTTTGTATGAATCAAATTAGATTGCTTACTTGAAAAATACTTCACCTGTTTGTAGGGAATCTGATTCTTAGCAGTAGATTGTTGCTATGTGATATCAACCTCAGATTTCTTTGAAAATGTTACTTTTGAATGCCATATCATATTTTTAATTTGGAGCACCAAAAATGCGTATTTTTTCGGACTTCACTCTGATAAAATAATTCCTTGTGTTGTATAAAGCGCTTTAGTAGAATATATTTTGGTTTTCGGTGCCATCTGAAGGAAGATTTCTTACGAATTTTAGTTATCATTCTTGCTGATAACACCATTGCATTTCCGATGGGTTTTTATGCCCATAAGACCTGACCAAGCTATAAAAGTTCTGTTATACACAGTTAAAAGTATGAAGGTTTGGCCTAATGCAAAGATAATTTTCAAGATGAATAAAGAACCAACTTTTCTTTATGAGAAACATGCTATTTAATTGTGCTTGTACTATAATGATGTGACACGGGCCTAATGTAGCAGCATGGAGTAGGATATTTACCTGGAAATTTTTGCCAAACCAGATGCCTTCTTGCCTTTTTCCCTCTTGCCTTCCCTTTTCAGTTGCCCCACTACTTTCTGTTGACACCTCCCAACACCCTTGATGACTAATGGGATGTTTGTTTTATAGTCCCCACCTTAATTTCTATTTCTAATCCCCAAGAAAAGGATTGTTATCCAAGTGATATTATTTCATGATGTTTCATAAATTTCATCAATGTGAGTTTGCTTTGTACATTCTTTGTAATCAAAATGATGTGTAACTGATCTAAGCTTCTGGTCAATATGAAGTAAAAAAGAACTAAATATTATGTATTGATGTTTTTCTTTTTTCTTTTTCAGGCAAAGCCACTGTTGGAGCAAGGAGCCATTGAAAGGTTGCTCGATCCACGGCTCAAGTACACTCCAAAGAACTCAAACCAGATAGCCCGGATGGTTCGAGCCACAGCTGCCTGCACAAACAGCGAAGAATCACGGAGGCCAGGCATCGATGAGATTATTGCAATACTAAGAGGAGTAGAACCTAACTGCTGTAGCAGGAAGAATTTCAGTTTTCCTGGTGGTGGTAGTGTTACTGATTGTTATTCGCAATTACAACAGACAAGAAGCGAGATGAAGAGTCATTTAGCCTTGGCAATGCTAGGTGTTTCAGAGTTTGAGGACGATGATCACCTGTACTGCCGTTGAGACATAAACACGTTGAACAACGATCAGATTTCCCCGCTTATCCAAGTTTTATTGTGTTGCTTGCGTAGAAAGTGTGTGGTAAGTCTAGGACTCCCGACTGTGTTGAAATTGTATATAAAAAGAGTGTCTCATGAACGATTTTATGTGTACAGATTGTTTATTTCTCATCCTTTCTTTTGGAGAAAAGGATGAAATAGAAATTTTCTTTCTTTTGTTGACAATGGTGATCTTCTCTGCCTTCTCCAAGGCAGGGTGGTTGCACCATCTAATTTGAGTATTGAATTTTCTGAGTTAGTTATTTTCCTCAATTGACTGCATTCCCCCCCTTCCCTTTTCTGTCCTCTGGTATGTTTAGGCATTGGCACAGAGTAAGTGTACATCTGATCCTTCACAAACCGTGTAATAATGAGCTATCTTTTTTTTTTTGTGGTTAGTCATGATTTTCTTTTTCAGAAATATGTACTTAATTGTATTTCCCCCTGGGGAGTTGTCTAGGTTGATAGAGGAGGACACACCAGAGCTTGTTAACTCTGGGCTCGCCGTTTTCTAGTTTCGGCTTCCGCTCCATTTGCACCAAAAAAAAAAAAGGTGCACCAAAAAAAAAAAAAAAAAAAGAAATATGATCCAACTGCCAGTTTTTCTGACTCAAAGAAAGGGTGATCTTTTGTTACTGCTGTGATCATTATAATTTACCTCCGTTGTTAAATTGACAAAAATTATAAGGTAAAATTGATATATTAATTATTAAAATTATAAGGATTAAATTGACATAATAAGTAAAATGCAAAGACCACGGGTATAATTTTTTTTTTGGGAGTAAAATTTTCTTGATTAGATAGGGCCAATCTGTTGATCCAAAGCACAACAAATAACGACAATCACAATGATCTGAAAATTGGTTTTGAGTACAATAATATAAAGAAAGAAAGACCGTTACAGCTTCAAATGGAGCACAAGTACATGATTTAAATTACAAAGAAAGTAGGTAGATGAGGTGGTGACCATCCTAGTTTGAGAATTTTTATTATGCAACATGTTAGCACTACCACAAACAATTTCTGATTTGAGAATTTTTTATTTTTTTTTTTGAATGGAGAGATTTAAAAAATTTTGGCAACATCCTTGACAAGGCCCCGGTTGGCGCGGGCAAAAGCAGTGAATTCCTCGAAAGAAATGTAACCATCGCCATCCGTATCGATCTCCACCATCATTCGCTTAATTTCATCAGTCGTAACAGAGCCGAGACCCTTCAAGGCATCCCCGAGCTCCGATGCAGAGATTTTGCCATCGCCATTGGCGTCGAAGCGCTTGAAGATTCGCTCGCGCTCAGCCTTGTCCTGTGGATCATCATCAGCCATTATTGATCTTGAATGATGTTAAAATTGTTTGAATGATTTTGTTTAGTTTGATTCTGTAAATTGGAATTTTGGAGATTTGAGAGAAAAGAATTGGCACTGTGTTTGTAATTTATAAAGAGATTGGCATTTTGGTAGGTGAGGGAATGGTTGTCCTTTGGATTCGGGGCACCAATATCGGATCTCCCCAAGGAATGAAATTGTTTTATAAATGTAAATGTATGGTGCATGAGCTTTGCATGGAATTAGCTTTCCTCTTCATTTGGCTTTCTAATAACTCTATTAAGGGCTAATTTGGAATGCTGGCCTCTAACTCATTTTGGGTTATACCACCTCTCATATTTTTTACTTATAAAAAGATAAAAAAAAATTAAAAAATCAGTTTTTAACCAACTTCCTGTTATTCCCACAAAGGGTGTGTGTGTAAATTAAATAAATAATAAAATAAAATAATTCAGAAATAATTATATAAATTATTTTTTGAATTAAATGCTTACAGAAATTAACGTCGAGGCTTGTGTTGGACACAATATCCTTAAAGTAGATTTCGTCCTCACTCCAGTGCTTCGAGTTTTACCGCCGTCTACTTCTCAGGATGCAACGATTAGCACTTGATTTTGCAACACTACAAAAACAAGTCTGGTGAACCAAAACTCTGTTGTAACTCTCTCTTTTTCTTCTTAAAAATTAAATGCAGAACAGAAGTAGAAATACAGAGACGAGCAGAAGATGAAGGACGAAAATCTGATGGAAAAAACTGATGAGAAGAATTGCTGGAAGCAGACTTTATATAGGCAAAATGGTGGCTATTCTGAACAGGTGCCAACAGATATGCAACTGTTCGGACAGATTTCAACAGATAGAAAATCTGTTTGGACAGTTCCAGATTTGTCCGGGTGAGGAAAAACTAGACCAAAATTATTTTAATTTGTGAAACTGAAATTAAAAAAAAAAAATTTATTTTTTGGCTCGAAAAGATAAGTGTTGGGTTAGACAAACCCAACCAAACCTCACACCATGTACCCATGCCTAAAGGCGGCGGTGCGTGCGTGTGGTTTTTGTTTTGGGTTCAATGAGCCTAACCCACTTCACCCATAACCTCACATTTCCATAAACTTGGGTACCCCTGGGGCCCCAGCCCAAGTATCCCAAGCTAAGGTATATAAACCCATTCAAAACCTTAAGCCTTCCCAATGTGGAACAAGCATATTTCACAAATGTGTAGAAAACCCATCTAAATACATTTTCACGAATTCGAAAATGTGCGTTGAATTCTCATTCATTTGGAAATAGTTTTGAGCAACCAAATACATTATTTTATTCACTACGCGGCATTAAGCATGAACCCAACTAGAAACGTTAAAAATAACGCTTGGGTCCCATCTTAATTAATGTTCAAAGTTAGCAAAACATAAAGATTTTCAAAACCATTTTCCAACACTTCCTAAAACACTCCTTAAATACAAATACTTAATTTTTTTTTTTTTTTTTTTTTTTGATAAGCGGGTGTCCAAATCAACTTATGCGCACTTTGACTAAATCTTGAGATCCTAAAATTAATGATCAGACAAACTTTTAGTGACCTCAAATTTTGAAATGTTTAGCTTTCATATATTTTGAACTTACGACCTTTTGAATAGTACTCACTAAAGCAAATCTCTTGGGGGTTACAATTAGGACAATGGGAGGAAATATTTGGAGAAAAAAAGGGTTACAAATACTTAAGAATTAGGACAATCAGAGGAAATATTTGGAGAAAGAAAATCGGTTTGATTTTTCGCAAGTGGTATCGACCGATGAGATGTGGAAGAGCCCATCAAAGATCCTCTCACTTCAAGTATACTTGTTTCATTTTCTCAAATCATCAATAATTATTAAATCACGAGATAATATCAAAATGTGAAAATTTAAAACATATCCAATGTTGTAGATGATTTGAAACATGAGAACATATCACCTTATTTTGTTTCAATTTTTTGAATTTAATTTTAAAAAAATTGAGTTTTTTATTTTTCGCATTTTTTTGGTAAATTTGTTTTAATATTTTAAGTAATTATTTTACTTTTTAGGTGCACCTAACTTAGATATATTTAAAAAGTAAAATATTAGTAAAAATATATTTTAAAAAAATAATAAGTACACATGAATACAAAAATATACTGAATTTTTATATATGTTTTTGTATTTTTAGTATTTAGTGAAATTTTTTTTATAAAAGAAATCACAAATATTATACTTTTTAATTATATTTATATTAAATGTATCTAAAAACTAAAAAAATAATAATTTAAAACATTAAAAAATTTAGTAAAAACAAAAAAATAAAAAAATAAAAAACTCAATATTTAAAAAATTGAAATCAAACAAGTGATATGATATTTGGAAATAGAGCATTCTTGACTCATCATATAACTACTCCTTACCAAAAATTAACTATTCCTACCCGTAAAAGTGAAAAATTATTCGTTGTTCGTAAAACAGTGCTTTGATAAGCAATTGATACATTTCATATTGTCTACTAAAATTTTATTACAAAAACAAATAATTTTTATAAATTAGACTAATAATTATTAATTTAAAATATCACCAAAATAAATAACTGTTTTTTTTAGATGGTGAAATACTTATTAATTTAAAGGGTACATGTTAGCAAAAATTTGGTTTGGGTGCACAATCGACAGTCAACAAGCAAACTAATTTTCACAAACAAACGAGATCAAGCAATGTGGTTGTGTTTTAATACCTTGACAGATTCAATGACTTTCTTGAAGGTTTACTTCCTAAAGAAATAAAGCAGAGTATAACGAAAAATTGATTGATAATGATAAAACTTGTCACTCAACCATCAATGTTACGACCCGCTCCCCGTATCCAAGGGTTAAGTATTGTGATGGCCAGTAACTGAAGTTACCTCCAGCCAATTCTTAAACAAATTAATAAACACGAGAGAAAATAATATTTAAGTGAGGGTACCAAAATAATCATTGGAGCTTCTATTTTTATTACAAAATTTATTGACCAAAAGACCGATATTTACATATAAAAATATCATAAAGTGTTGTGTGTGTCTATTCCGCAGACCCGCGTCTAAGACTTTCCAAAAGCTATTTCTAAATTGCACCGTTTCCTGAAAATTGATAAACAACTATAAGCACATGACAGAGTGAGAAATATTATGCCAAGAGTATAAGTGACACAAAATAACCATGGATAGTTATGTAACTAAAATATTTAAGATAACTTAGTCTGAGTAAATAATCATTTAAGTAACAAAACTGTGATTATGTAAATAAATAACCATAACCATGGTACCGAACAGAACAGAGGTCACGTGAGTGACAGTCAAAACAGAGATACGGATTCAAGAGGTGACTTATACGGATTATAGAGGTGGCTCTCACAATAGTGTAACACTTATCTCCGCACAGCACTTTGTTTCGCACAGAACAGAGGTCAATAGATCCATGACAATAGAGGGCCACAAAGTTACCAAATGGAGGCCAATGGTTATTTAAGTCCCCCAAGACATGGGACTCCCGTGGTAGTACTTACAAAACATAATTGTATATAAGGTCATAGCCAAATAATCATTAAAAATTAAACAAACATATCCATGAGTTTTATTTTAAACAAATAGAGTTTAGAAATTAATCCACATAATTGAAATATTAATGTAATTTATAAAACATAACTTATATAAAATAAATACAAATAAATTATGGTAAGTCAAAACATACGTAAAATATATCATGGTAACTCAAGGTATAATATAACTCACCTTAACTTTAATATCTCACTCTTTCTTTCCACTACCAAAGACCTTCTTTACTTCTAGTATTTTCCTCCCATTTCTTTCCTTAACTTTTCCTTTCTTTTTTTCCTTTTTTCTTTTGCACTGATCTTGATCTTCTCCCATTTATAAGGAGGCAAGCCCTATCATTACCCGCCACGTGTCCACGGCAATCTCCCTCAGATTTGGATTTAAATCTCTCAAATCTATACTTATCTCATTAATTTTCTATAATTACATTTTGGCCCTAATTCTTTTAAAATAATTATATTCCCCTTATTAGTATAAATTTTACAGAATAATAAAAAATCTAGGTTGTTACAATCAAGATCAAATTACAAGTCAATAATCATTACAATCGACAGAGATTTTCAAGTACTAAAATGGTACTGCTATTGCTAATGTTACTGCTAACTTCAAGAACTACTACTCTTAAAACACATTGAACTACTCCTAGATTTCTCAGGTTGAGAGTTGATTTTTTCTGCTTTCTATCCTTTGAAATCTCAGCCTTTCTTCCACTTACCTTGCTACTCATTTTGTTGACACATGTCCCACCATGGAGCAAGTTTCTTTCCATTTCTTGCATAACTGCCCATGATCTACACAACCGTTTGTAACTGCTTCTTCTGCTGGAGCCTTCTCTTTCTCTTCAGTCTATGCTAACAAACCACGTGTCTTGTATCAAAACATTCCTAGCCTCACGGATCCACTCCTGGGCCACATCTGGCCATGTCCCACTGCACTACCAGATGAATCGATAGAAGAAAATGCCTCTGCCACCTCTGCTTCTTTAATTGTTTCACTCTTGTCACATGTTCTGCGTTCTGGGGCCCATATCATATTACCAAACTTGTGGATTTTACTTCTGCTATTCACTAGATCATTGGTATGCTTACCAACAGAGAAAACTATTTTTAGTAACAACAGTACATTAAACTTATCTTTCTCGAGGTTTGAAAAAAAATACAATTATCTCACACTTTTAACATATTTATACTGACAGCTCTTGAGATTATTAATCATAGATGATTTGAAAAAAATGAGACATGATTTTTTAAAATTTTTAACGCACTTATATTTGTGAATAAATTTGAAATAAATTCACTAAAAATTAAAAATAAAATATATAATAATAATAATAATTTATTTTATATATAGTTATGTGAAATAAATTGAAGAAAAAATTATTATATATTTGGGATTATTTTTTTTTTCCATTTAAGCACCAAATTCTAAGTGCAGCTCAATATGACTCTTTCTGTCCCATCCACAATTATCCAAAACATGGAGAGATTATTAATCTGAATGGGCTATTAATTTTACTTTTTTAATCAAATATTATACTAATGGATTAATTATAAATACATTTTCGGAAATTTTTTTAAAGAGAGATTTGGTCAAAACTCCCTCATAATAAAAGTATTAAGGACAAGTAAAAAAAAATTTCTTTAAAAATCTAGGACACACTACTTAGTACCAAAATATTCGCAGTGACTAATTTAATATTTTAAATTTTAAAATGATATCACTTAAATAAAATTAGTATTTTTAAAATCTTTTCATCAAAATCTATCAAATAAGATTCAAGTTAATTATGAAATTCTTAAAAAAAAAAATCAAAATTGACTTAAACAGTAACATGCTACTTTATTTCACAACAACATATTGTTCTTGTTTATAGTAACATGCTACTGTCAATTCTAAAACATGACATTAAAAAGAGAGAGGGTAAATTAGCAGTTACAAGGAAAAAAAGATCAAACTGAAACTAGCGAACAAAAAATTAAGAATGATGACTCACTATCTTTGGCAGATCTTGATTCTTCTCATAACAGATTACATATAAAATAGAGTATCAAATAAAATACTAATATATATGTCAGATCTGAAAACGATTGCGAACTCTATGATTTCGTCAGACTACAGCAAAGAGTGCATAAAGATTTACAAAATTATTCGAAAATTGATTGTTGACGAGAGATTGTACCATCTCATAGTTGAGAAGCTGAATCCATCACAGTTTCAGAAAATGGATTGAGAGGTGATTGAGGTCAAGATCAAGAGCTAGCTCCACGCGATGAAGATTGTCGTGAAGACGCTTTTCTACAGAGAGAGAATCCTTTTTGGCAATCTTAGCGAAAAACGATTTTGAAATTCTGGAGCACCGGAGATGAAATACGAGCTTCACACTACTCAATCCCTTCAATTTATATTCAGGGTGAGATTGTCTAGAAAAAAAGAAGAAAAATATTAGTATGTCCTTCACGAAGAACACGCTTTTTGCTCAGGGAGTCAGGAAGTAAAATATTTTGAGTTATCCTTTATACACTAACACGTTGGGCCTAGGGGATGTTGGCTAAACTGACCCATGTGGTACGGAAAATTACATCATGTTTTCTGAAGTTTTTAATTTCATAATAAATTATCATTTTTATTAATAATATCACAAAATCGATTAATAGTTTTTAATGATACAATAAATTTATTTTAATTAATAATTCAAGTAATTTTATTATTATATAGGAGAACAGTTAACAATTTTATTTTTTTAGTTAATTCTATTAAATAATAAATTATAACAATGAGATGTTTGTAATTTTTCAAACCATATGGGACAATTTGTATTTTAAACAAATTTCAAAGATGTATTTGTAATTTACCCTATACTATTCATTCTACTAAATATAGATTATGTTTGTTTGGGTGATTTGGATTTGCGAGTTTAACATTTGTAGCACAGTTAGTCCTCAAATTATTAATCAATTTGAATTGTATATTATATATTATAAGGGTGTTCACAGTTCAGTTGCGGCGGGAAAATTTCCAATCCGCCATCCGTCCACAAGATAAGACTGGCAAATTGGAAAAAAATTTATCCGCATCTATCTGTCGGATTGACGGATGCAGATTGGTCCTCAAATTATTAATCAATTTGAATTGTATATTATATATTATAAGGGTGTTCACGGTTCAGTTGCGGCGGGAAAATTTTCAATCCGCCATCCGTCCACAAGATAAGACTGGCAAATTGGAAAAAAATTTATCCGCATCTATCTGCTGGATTGACGGATGCAGATTGAGTGGATTGGCAGATGGATGCGAATCGATTTGGTGGTTTAAACTGTTACAAATTTTGAACATAATACAACAATTTGTCAGCATTTTTTTTGTGATAATTATCAAGTAAATTGTCAAATACCAATAATAAATACATATAAAAAAACTATGCCTTATCAAAACTATTTCATTACTTTTTTTTATTCAAAAATTATTTAATTTGATTTTTTTTTAAAAATGACAAAATTAAGCCTTATATTTTCCACACAAAAGTACCAAATATCAATACTTGCCATTTGATAAAAGGATTTTCAAATTGAAAACAAATTGAAAATACAACAGAATATCTAAACTCTTTTTAGTTAAAATTACAAACAGAATATCTAAACAAATTAAAAACACAAGATCTTACAAATTACTAGGGTGCTTGCGGTTTGGCGATTCAGTTGCAGCCAAAAGAATCTCAAATCTGCCATATGTTTAAAACTAGGCGGATTGAAAAAAATCAATCTGCAACCGTCTGTTCGTCATCACGCATCTGTTCAAAATGTGGTGGATTGATTCGGTTCGATCGAAATATGAACTACTCACCCTTAATATATTATGTTTGAGTTGATTTAGGAAAAAATACAAAAAAAAAAAAAAAAAAAAAAAAAATTTGTGAACCCCACCCACGCCCCTCTCCTCCCAATACCTACATCATCTGATTTCGCCTTTTGCCCTTACAACAATTTTCACGCCTCTTCTCTTCACTTCGACTACTTTGCTGCTCCTATCTCTTCATCGACGACAAGGGAAATGGTGATTCCCTACACTACAACCACCTCTTTTCCTCAAGGAAAACCCCACGACCACTATCATTAATACAACTCCCTCCTTCACTCCGTCCCCCCTTTTATACTCCAAATCTATTAATCTATGCCCAAATTCTTTCCATGGAGGAGGCAACTATCGACAAATTAAGAACACCTTTTAACTTTGTGAACACAATCTATGAGAATTATGTTATTTCCCAACTCACACCTTCAAGAATTTCAAACCCACAACCTCTTATAATAAACTATATCAGTATAGATTTTATTCTTTAAGTGCATATTTCCCCCCCATAATCCAAGATTACAAAATTAATATCATCAAATATATACATACATATGTAAGGATGGATCTAGGGATAAAGATGGGAGATCGCACTCCTTAAAAATTTAAAAAGTATCCTATGTTATATTAAAATTTTTGAAATAATTAAAAATCATAAAAATTTGTACTCTTAAGTATATTTTTGTATCTGTTTGCACCATATTTTATTTTTCTATCGATTGTGACTTATTAGTTATGGCCAAGTTTTTCTGTTGATTGAAATTATAAAATATTTTCAAAGAATAATCTTAACCACATTTGTTTTTGTAATGCCCCCAAAATATAACCATAAGTTCCACCTAAATATATACAAACAATGGCATGAATCTGAGTGTAAAGTTCTTACATTTCATAATATTAATAGTACAAAAGAGTTCAGCATATATAAATGCCCTTTTAGGCTTACACCTTTCCAAGCCTTGGCTTGGTTACAACAAAAGTGAGACTAGCTCATACAATTTAAGCACTAGGCTATACAAAACGTGAAACAAAACAAAGAAGGTCTTACTTATCAAAAGTCCCTCCAATGCTATTGCCTTGGTAGAGGCATGCCATCCATACCTGAAAATGTTTTTTCTCAAATAGGGTGAGCCACAACCCAGTAAGAATAATCTAACACAATATATGAGATTTAACGAAGATATAAGTGCAATGTGCATATACCATGCCAGGGATAAATCATTCACATTTTTATATAGTCATAGAATACCAAATCCATATTTCATTTCATTCTCCTTCAATTCATTTCAATACATGAGCCAATCTCATTATTTGTCAATAACGCAAATGAGACTGCAACTCAATGGTTCTACAATCACAAAATTAACACACAAACACTTCAATCTGCCATTTTACGAAAATTTCGTCTGTGGGATTGGCACCCATGTATAAATTTAGGGACTTTCACCCAGGACACTGTAGCCAACTTAATTATAATGGAGTTCATCCATTTTCTCCCCCCAAATAGTGGAGTGCATCTCTTTTCTCCTCCTAAACAATCATACATATGCAATGTATTCAAACACATAATCATACATGGAGTACAATCCCTTTCTCCTCCCAAACAATCATACATATGCAATGTATTTAAACACATAATTATATTCAATGATAACCAACCATGGATTAGTTTTAATTCACGTAATCCTCATGTAATTTCTACAACAATCATAGCTATCCTCCATCGATAGTCTAATACAGTTATTTCTAAACAGGTATACAATCTCAAAATATATAATTTATTTAAAATTTCTAAAGATGAGACGTATCATCTACTTAATTCCACCATGTATTTCAATACGCTTCCAATTTCATGTTTACAACACCAATTTCATTTATTTATACAAAATAAATATCATAATCATTTTAGGGCAAAATCCCTCTGTTCACAAGTCTTAACCAAGTACCAAAATCAACAATTTTGACACCATACAACATCATTTTCAAACCCCACAATCATTTACCGCACATTCACCAAAACCCTTCTTTCCATTTTACATCTAAACCCTAGGTTTGTTCACATTACCCCCAAATCCCACCATTGTTACACAATGACAAATAACTAAGTTAAAAACCATATTAAAGTGTAGAAAATCCCTACCTCAAGAAGAGAAGACCAAGCAAAGCAAGGTAGAACCCTCAACAACGCCGAGACCACGGTCTAATCGGATCAAAATAAAGCTCTTGGAATTCTCTAACTTTTTCTCAAAGACACTAGGATAAAGAACCCAAAGGATCTAGGCCAAAATGTAGAGAGAGAGAGAGAGAGAGAGAGAGAGAGTCAAGATCTAGGTTTTTAGAAAGTTTTAGAGAGTGAGAAAAATGAAAAAGTGATACAAAATGTCATTTTCGCGATCTGATATATGCACAGTCCGCTCGACCGGAAGAGTTGACGCTCGAGCGCCAAACACAAACAAGTTGTTCCACTCGAGCGCAATAAAGGCCGCTTGAGCGCCAAGATATAACGAACGTTCACTGCTTCAGAGCAAGAATTAGCCGCTCGAGCATAGAAAACACACATCCAAAAGTTTTACAAACAACAAACCAACACTCGAGCGTAGGAAACGCCGCTGGAGCATAGAAAATACTCTCCTAGTAGTTTTGCATACTTGCAAAGTACCGAGAGTGTGCAAAGCCCACTTAAACGCGAGAAGTACCGCTCGAGCGGAGGAGCAAAAATCTAGGCAACAAAGGTTTAGAAAAACAAGCAACCAACCTGTTCCAAACGCACAACTACAATCAAAAAACCAAAATAAAGAGGAGACAAGAAAAACAAGATATGAATCACCATTCAAAACCATACAAACCCGAGTCTGGAATACAATAAGTGACAGGTCAAAACCGGAATCGCTATAACCTCCCTCTCTTAAAGAATTTCGTCCCCGAAATTTCAAATCAAGTTCAACATCATTAATAAACCATTTACGGTAACGTTAATCCAACAAATTTAACACTATGACCCACTCTCCGATCATAAATTCTCGTTGACTAGTTACACAAGTCCCATTCTGAAAGTGCAATTTACAATTTTCCAAAACATTTACAATGTTTAATCAAAATCCGAGCTTTCAAAAACTTACATAGCATATACAATGCTTCCAAAAGTGATACAACACCCTCAATATTCCATATTCTCAAAACATATGTAATGCTTATATTGAATCCATGTTTCCAAAATACCCATAACACATACAATGTCTTTACTTTTCATTTACATAATGAAAATCTCAATATAAAATTAAATATCAACAAATAAGTTCGGATATTTCTCTCAGACTTCTAATTCACGTTCCCAAGTTGTTTCCTCAATCCCGTGATGTTTCAATAATACTTTAACCAAGAGAATTGTCTTACCTCGCAAAACTTGATCTTGAGTATCTAAGACTCTTACTAGTTTCTCCTCATACAAGGCAGCTTCATCTACCTCTAAGACGGTCTAATCCAACATGTGCGATGGATCTGGCTCATACTTCCGAAGCATACTAATATGAAACACGTCATGAACTCTGAAAAATTGTGGCTGTAACGCCAAACGATAAGCAACCTTCCCAATCCGCTCAAGGATCTCAAAAGGGCCAATAAACCAAGGGGACAACTTCTCATTCTTCCCAAATC